CTCAAATAAGGCCTTTAAGTGCCAAGGACAACCGTTTTACTAGTCTTTTATAATAAATACACCTTATTCTATCAGGGCTGTCAAATGGCAATTTGAAGGTTAATTTGTGAGTTATAATTTAACCTTAAAATTGACATTTGACAGTTTTATGACAGCCCTGATAGAATAAAGTTTATTTTTTACAATAGAGGAGTAAAATGGTTGTTCTTAGCAATTTAAGGACTCTTTTAAGGCTTACTATGAGAAACACAACGTTTAAAACGATTAATAATCTGTATAAACAGAGCACAAACCCAAAGCACAAAAATTGTAAACAACAAAAACGGCCGCCGTTAAACTGTGCAGTGTTGCAGTGATTTTTCGTATTTTTAGAACGAGATAGAACAGACCTTGTTGTGTGGATTGTGATTCATTAGAAGTTTATGGAGAACAGAAAAAGATATCAATTTGAAATTTGTAAAGCAATGCTGCAGCATTTTAATAGGAAACATTATTTTGTGTCGAATAGTGGGAAAATTGTATGGTAGTTTCGTTTGAATTAAGGAAGTTATTGGTATTTAAAGTGACAAAAAAGTCAACGTAAATACCAGACACCCTGTATAAAATTTTCAAATACTATTAATGGCTTTCGATAGAGTACTTCTTAGTGAACAGGTACACCAAAAATTAACTTTTTAACATTACAATTAGTGGTAATACAGACATATTACTAAGACCATCCATCAGTCAGTATGTTTTCAGTGTTTGAATTGACTATACATTCACAAAGTTTGAAATTCGATATAGCAGTATTTAAATTGTTTTAATGTTGTTTTAATGCACTATAATAACTTATTTACTTATTTTCGAACATCTGGTACTTTTTTACGAATACGTTAATTGCTTACGACTCCTTTTTGGATAAATTTTAAAAAAAAAACAAGAAAAATTACACAAGTTTACAGCCATTTTGCCCACCATGTCTCACTATGATTTTCTTGTGTAGTTTGGCTCACTAAACGCGAAAATCACACTTAAAATCTTTTTCATGGAAGCGTTTTCGAGATATGAATTTTCAATTGTTTTTTTTAAGATAGAAATCGAAAAGATAATTCCAGTTTGATTTATTTTACATATAGATTATACTTAAAGGAAAAAAAATAAGCTGCTGTTAATAAAAATCCATGGATAAATGGCGAAGTTATGAATTATTCAGTGGAAGACCAAAATTTAGTTTTTCTTCATTTTATTGAATTATAAATTAATATTGAACATTGATTTTTATTTTAAACATTAAATATTACAATTAAATTATATATTGAATATTGAACAATAAATATTGAACATTGAAGATATTGAAAGTTTTATTTTGTTTTAATAAGCATAGGTTTAAAAAAATTCTGCACTGAAAGAAATTTGTTGCTAAAAGTAAACACAAATTTATACTAAAAATTTTATACTAGTGCTTTACACATTTATACTACTGTTTATTATGAATGTATGTTAAATTTTGTAATACATTTATTGTAAAGAACATATGTTAGATCTAAATAAAAATAAACTTACCCTTACTATAAAATGTAAACTATAAGTGAATTACAGCAAAAAAATATTGCTAGAAACACATTTATATTGCTAGGGCAGCAATAGGCTGCTAACCAAACGAATATATTTGTTTTAGCAATGTATGTGGTAGTCCAAATATGAAACATAAAATATATTTGCCCTAATTATTTTTTTATTTAACTTTAGTATATTTCTTTCAGTGTGTCTCCTTTGTTTTTTGTTGCTTTCGTATTCCGTTTCTCGTATGAGGGACCAAATGTAATCACCCATCATGGCTGCATCCCAGAAGCCGTGATACCGCCGCTCCATAGCCTTCATTTGCTAGTGAAAACGTTCTCCGTGCTCATCACTTACGTCGCCCAGATTGTGCGGGATATTTACGCACTCGAACTCTCTACTTCTTTTACTCATTTTACACTTTTAATTAACTAAATAAAACCATGATAAAAATACCTTGTTGAAATATCAAAAAATATCAGTAAAATGTCACTATGCCAACACGAGAAACAAAAGAATTCACGTTTGCGGAGTCATGCGAGTCTTGTCATGTTTTCGGTGAAAAAAGTACGTAAAAAACTCAAAAAATTCCAATCATGCACTTTATTTAGGATTTCATTAAAAAATAAACATATTACAAAATAAAAGAAAAATCGTCAAAAAGCTGAATTATGGTCTTCCACTAAAAAATTCATAACTTCGCCATTTTTACATGTATTTTTATCAACATTAGCTTGTTTCTTTGTAAAAATGTCAGCTTCACGAAAAAAAATTCAAACTGGAGTTATCTATTTGATTTAAACCTTTCCCAGAACGATATGTAAATTTTCGACCTCAATTTTTGCCATAAAAACGAATTTGTAAGTTATTAAAATCGCTAGCGTCAAAATACTTATCCGATATCAAAAGTATGTAAAATAAAGTTTTAGAGGGTTCAAATATCTTCAATTTAAGGGCTTGTTTGACCAAATCGATCAATTAGATTTCGATCTATACTCAAAAACGCCAAAACACCTCCGATTGAAAAAAAAAACAATTGAAAATTCATGTTTCAAAAACGCTTCCATAATAAATATGGATATTAGGGTGTGCCAAAAAAACTCGATATTTTTTTTTTCTTGCTCTCCACCAAAAATATCGTAGAATATGTCCGAACAAATATTCTGTTAAAAGCGGAGCTCATAATTTCAATTTTAAGAGGTCCATCATCGAATCTGAAGTTTTGCCTCTTAAATAACACAGAAAACTGACTTTTTTACCTTAATTATTCTTGCAACCTAGGAAGAATTTTTTTTTCATAAAATCCATGACTAATTCTTACGAAGCATTAAATTTAGACAAAAAAATCTTATTAAGCCGAATTTCTATTTTCATTATTTGATTTTTTACAGAGCTTTAAATTTAAAATTTGACGTCTTTTGCCTTTTTCAGCTAAACTATTGGTTGGACGAAAAAGTCAAATGGCAATTTTTTAGCTTGTCAGATGGACCACAAAAAAGTTTTAGGCGAATTTTTGTTATCGTCAATATTCTAAAAGTTACAGGCGTATAAAGTCATCATTTTTGTATTATTAACTTTTTGTTAGTGAAATATTTATGTTAGCACAAAAAATCAATAGAGAATTATAAAAAAAATTGAATTTTCGGAAAAATTGTCCTAGTAAAATTTAATGTACTGTCAATCATTAAAATTTACAGACTTATTAGCTTATTTCGATGTTTTTTTTACGTAAATCAGATAAACAATTGACAATAGATACAAAATTTTATAAGAATAGAGTAATTGCATCAAAAATGAAAATCCCTAAAAACCTTTTTATTGTAATCTAGAGGTAAAAACACATTGCGAAAATATTTTTTTATATTCCAAAAGTTCAACCCGGCCCCAAAATATCAAATTAAAAAAAAGGTACTTTTCAAACGTTCCGAACTCCCGCCATATTGCATGACGTCATAAGCTTCACCAGCTGTCAGAAATCAAGATGTCAACAAATAATAAACACCGATAAAGTTTATGTTTAACATGGAAAACGCGAAACCAAAAATTGGTTGTAAATATTGTTTTGTGCCTTGTACAAATAAAACCTGAAAAACTCCTGGGAAAAGGTTTATCACCGTGCCAAAAGGGAAAATAAGGATAAAGTGGATTAAAATAGCTCGGCGCGATATCAAAACATCGTCACCATTTTATTGCTCATTTTAAGGATCATTTTAAAGTAAAATAAAATGTCGTTTACTAGGTATATGGTTTGAATAGGTATGTTAAATATTAATAAATTCAAGAAAATACGGCTGAGCCGTAACTACTCTTAGTGTAGGGTCATAAACTTTGCTTTTGATAATTGAAGGGACACCTTTCCCAGGAGTTTTCCAGGTTGTATTTGTACAACAAGGCACAAAACAATATTTACAACCAATTTTTGGTTTCGCGTTTACCATGTTAAACATAAACTTTATCGGTGTTTATTATTTGTTGACATCTTGATTTCTGACAGCTGGTGAAGCTTATGACGTCATGCAATATGGCGGGAGTTCGGAACGTTTGAAAAGTACCTTTTTTTCAATTTGATATTTTGGGGCCGGGTTGAACTTTTGGAATATAAAAAAATATTTTTGCAATGTGTTTTTACCTCTAGATTACATTAAAAAGGTTTTTAGGGATTTTCATTTTTGATGCAATTACTCTATTTCATGTCTTATTCCATTGTTTACAGTGAATTATCGCTTAAAATACTAATAATAATATCTTACTAACTATTATCGTACAAAAAATTCTGAATCTGTAATTATTGCATTAATATTCATTATAATATTCATATTCAGTACATTATTTCATTTATTTCGAGCTTGATAGGTACACATATTGTAAAACACGGTTTACTTATAATAACTTTGTTGATATTTAAATTCAAATTTAAATTTCCCAAAGAATTTGCTAACAGCCCCCTTGCAGTATTATTGTTTAGGTGAAAAAGGCAAAAAACGTAAAATTTTAAATTTAAAGCTCTGTAAAAAATCAAATAATGAAAATAAAAATTCGGCTTAATAAGATTTTTTGGCCCAAATTTAATGCTTTGGACATGGATTTTATGAGAAAAAAATTTCTTCCTAGGTTGCAAGAATAAATAAGGTAAAAAAGTCAGTTTTCTGTGCTATTTAAGCGGCAAAACTTCAGATTCGATGATGGACCTCTTAAAATTGAAATTATGAGCTCCGCTTTTAACAGAATATTTGTTCGGACATATTCTACGATATTTTGGGTGGAGAGCAAGAAAAAAAAATATCGAGTTTTTTTGGCACACCCTAATGGATATGGTGGGCAGAATTTTTTTTAGATTTTGTGAACTAGTGTTATTGGGTTATCGTAAAATTAACAATATAGTAATATTTTCCTGTGTGAATCGTTCAAATTTCAATGAAAAAAAAAAACCAACAGATTTAACTTTGTTTTTGACCTACCAGCATTCGTTAATGTCCCACAGCCACGGTTTGTTCCACAATATGACTACTCCGTAAATGAAGCTGCAAAAGTAATACAGGCACCTCCATGCGTTCTCGCAAAATTTCGTCAGAGTCGACGGCTTGTTCTGGCCCTTTCTCAGTCTTAACCATCTTTCTACTTGTCGTTCCGTCATGTCCAGCTGCTTGGCCAGACCTTGGACCTATAAAATTTTATTAATAAAAAAATTATTTACCTCACAAAAAAATTCCTCTTTTTTTGTCTCAGAAATCCCAAACCATTGGGTTTAACAAAATTGACTTTAAAATATTTTTTGAAGAAAATTGAATGCTTTACAAAAAAGGTTTGATTGGAATTTCCCGTCAGATGAACCGTTTTCTTACAATCATGCCTTAAAAATTGGTAGTTTTACATTTTGATCTTTTAACTTTGGAATTTTGTAATTCATGTAAAAATCATTACCCGGAAAAAAAACCTTTAGATATTCTTATGGGAAATCAAATGCTCTACAAAAAAGTCTTTTAACATTTTTGGCTAAATTCACTCCATCAAAAGTTATTCATACAGGGTGAGTTTTAAGTTGACGCGTTCCTTTTAACAGCGTGTAGAAATCAGATAGACAAATGTTTTTTTTGGGCCTCAATTATTGTTAAAAATGTGTCATTTTGGTTTAAATGGTTATGTTCAAAGATATTATCTTTGGTTATGTTTGTTGTCATAGATGACATTTTGCATTGTTTATTTTGTTATTTTTATTTTTATGGTTATGTTTTTTGTTAACAATAGCCAGGATCGGCTCAAAATTTAATTAAATTTTGAAGGGCTATAACAATCTTATTTTTGAGTTTTGATAAAAAAGTTACTTAAAATATTTATTTGTCTATCTGATTTCTACACGCTGTTAAAATGAACGCGTCAACTTAAAACTCACCCTGTATTAATATATAATTGATATAATTATCACGAGAACTATGAATTTAATCGGTTAAACTAGGCTTAGTAGTTTTTTGTTGGAAAATGTTGAATGCAAAATAATTTAATAAAATCACGAGACCGCGTAGCAGTCAAGGGGTTTTTTTTAATTATTTTGCATGAAACTATTTTCCAAAAAGAAAAATCAAATAAAAAACTTACTGAGCATAGTTTCACATATTAAATTTATAGGTTGAGTGATATACGTCTAGATTATTTCTCGAATTAAGGAAACTATTTGACATTTCATAAAATCTGACGTATGTGTCAAAATTTATAAATATTTTTTTAAAGAAAATTTCATTAATTTAAGGTATGTAATAAGTAATAATTGATATTTCGTAAACTAGATAACTTATTTTTTATTGTTTTTTAAAAAATGTTTGTTAAAACTTGTAAATAACACCATAAAATCGTAAACAAAAATCCAATATGGAGGCTAAAATTGAATCGCTGTTAAATATTTCTAGTGATTTAATGGCTTATTTAAACGAAATTTATTCGAAAATTCAAGGCTTTTGATTGGTTCATATTATAATGAGGGAAATAATCAAGGTTAAATTTGAAGTCAAAACTAAATTCTTGTTTTTTTCGCTCTAGCTTTTTTTGGGTCAGTTAAAAACTTAGATTCTTTTATCGATGATAATCTTTATGTTATTGATAAAATTACTGAAAACTAAAAAAAATAACACATTAGCATTTTTTCGCTTTAAGAAGCTATTTTCTTTAGAAAATATCATTTTCACTGTTAATTTAATCGTTTAAATAATAACAATCATGTTGTTTTTTTATTGGAAATTGTTAATTAGTTAAATAATACACATTTATAAAAAAAATCCTTACCTATCATCTGTAAAAAATAAATCTACAGAGGAAAAAATAAGAATTTCGTTTCGACTTCAAATTTAACCTTGAATAACTTTTGATGGAGTGAATTTAGCCAAAAATGTTAAAAGACTGTTTTTGTAGAGCTTTTGATTTCCCATAAGAATATCTATAGGTTTTTTCCGGGTAATGATTTTTACATGAATTACAAAATTCCAAAGTTAAAAGATCAAAATGTAAAACTATACCAATTTTTAAGGCATGATTTTAAGGAAACGGTTCATCTGACGGAAAATTTTATTTTAACCTTTTTTGTAGAGCAATTAATTTTCTTAAAAAAATATTTCTGCGTCAATTTTGTTGAACTCAATGGTTTGGGAGTTCCGAGACAAAAACTTGCTGAGAAAAAAAGTTTAAAATTGCGATGATAGACCTCTTAGTATTAATATTATGCACTCAAACTTTCACAATAATTTTTTTGTCACCCCAAACCATATTTTCGATATACTTTTCAAAAAAAAAATTGTTGATTTTTTTGGCCCAGTCTACTGTATATATATTTTTTATTATTATTTTATAAAGTAACATCCATTAATATAATTAACATAATTGAACAACATAATTAATCTGATATAAATGAATCAAAATACTATTTATTAAAATTGGTTTCAGTTTCATAGGGGTAATTATTTTTTATCAAGGTACCTACATATATATTGAAATACTCCATTAAAATAAATAATAAATTACTTTAAGTTATGAGTTTTATTCTGTAGGGAGTCAGGACAAAGTATATTGCTTAAAAATTGATTATTACAGTATATTTTTTATGAAATCTCAAAAAACATTTTTGCACATTTTATAATCATTTAAAATTTCGTGCTGCCAACTTACGAAACACAAAAATTTGACAGTTAAACCTTAATTTTGTCATTATACGCTAAAGGTGGACTTCGATAGCATTGCGTGAATTTAAGAATTATCAACAATACATTTAAAGCACAGATTATACATCATTTTTAAATAAATAGGTAGTTTTTTCACAAAAGAGAGGAAGCTAAATCGCGCACGTTATTTGTGTTTTACGTTGCAAGGAAAAAATTAAAAAACTTTTTTAGGACTCGATTTTGATTGATTATTTCTTATATCATTGATTAAGAAACTCCACGCTTAAATGCTTATATATTTACGTTAGTGTTTGTATTTATCTAGGGGATCATGGTGAATTATTGTGTTTTTAATTTTCATGTTTTGCCAAAGGGTCCAATTCGGTAAATACATTTGTTGGTGCAGAATTAACTAATGATAACTTTACCTAACATAATTTTAAAGTTTGGACATTTTTAAGAAATTAGTAAAAAATAATTTTTGCACAAACATAACCTTAAAATCAACAATTTTTATGTTTGAGTTCTCTAAAAAACGCCGACAACTGCATTTTAAACAACAAAATATACCTACGAATTCATGGCAACATAATATTATATATAATACATAATACAATGGTATTTTACCGTTGAGTGGAGACTTTCTTAATCAACGCTTTTAATAATGCTAAATGGTGTTTAAATTGAGACGACTTATTTGTTTGACGAATTGAAATGTTAACACTTTTCACGTTAATCACTACTAAAATGTGTATTTATTGTATCTAATAGGTACAATTTATATTTACAGAGACTGTATGCAATTTATTTCTTCATTCAGATTAACACTGTTTATTGGAAAACCGGTGAAAACTCAACCCAGGATTTCCTCTCGAAATACACCCAACACAAAAAATCGAGCCACGGTTTTGTTTTCGATATTTTTTAAAAAATTTCGGCTTTATTCTCAAAAACACCCGTTTGTAACATTTCTTGTGAAAATTCAATATAAAGTTGTGGTGAAATGACTCGTTTCAAAAATAAAATGCTTCCATTTTACAAAAGAAAAACAATTTTGTGGTACTTTTTGAGCAAGATCTGTTTGCAAAAATTTGTAATTTACGAAAATATGTTGGTCAAGTTGATTTTTTTCGTGGTACCTCATGGCTGTCAGAATAATTTAAATTTGGAATTCGTAATAGTTTTAAAATTAACTTTGAAAAATAATTTGAAAACTTAAATGATAGATAATAATATATATTAGATAAATTTACTATAGTTACATTCAAGGTTACAAATACAAAAACTTATTTTTACGATCTTATCTTTTATATGACCTTTGATTATTAAATTTTTTAAAGTCTTTCGCACATAATTGCCATAACAGAACAAACCAATGTCGATGAATTGTTGTTATTTTTATTGATTTTTTCAAATTTTTAGATAGAATTTTGAAACTATTTAAAAATTACCCATATGTATTTTTAACCAAATATTAAAATTACCTACCTGTTTATGTTTCCATCTTTTCGCTGTGGCATAGGCCTTTTCTAAAACTACATTGGCCGGAGCTTTCTTTGGTTTCGAGTTTTTAATACCTAATGATAATCCTATTGGCGTGAACCAGTACCTGAAAAAAATACATTTATTTAGTAAAACCACAAATTCTTCAAGATCATTAAGGGGGTTACCCCTTTTATCCAATATTCAGGCGGTTTTAACCTCACATATTACCAATCTGAGATCTGTCAGACGGATTTAACCTCACTTTTTCCGATCTAACAAATGTCAAATGGTTTTAACCTCACTTTTTTATCAATTAACGCATAGGTACTCCTTGGATATAATAAACAACCTAATGTATACTATTCAGTTTTAAAACTTAATAAATATAAATGCAGCAAAATTGTAGTGTTGTGTTATTTTTTTAATAATTAAATAAATTATTTTTACCCAGATTTTTGCAGATAAAATAAATACTTACAACTTTTTATATGGCAAAATTAACAATGAAATGTAACATTTAAAAATGCAATATCTCTGAATGGATTAAGCAACTTCATAAAAGGCTAATCAAAAAATATGTGTAAATTGGATTCTAACCTAACATTTTTTACATCTGTCAAACTGACGCTGAAAGATTCTTGTCGTAGCCTACTCTTTTTTCACTAAAATATTGTCTACGATTGGCCAAACGTTGTCGCAACCTACTGAGACCGATTCGCGAGCAACTTAACCTATAAAAAATGAGGTGTACCTACTTTTCGAATAAATATCTTAACGCCAACATGACCAGGGCCATGGGCAACGGATAAAATAAATGTCTGTGATCGGTGTGTTGTATAATTTTGCTGCTTTCAGGGGCGACGTCTGCCCATGTTGTATTAGGCGGTAACCAAACATTCTCGCTCCAAAAATTGCTCACAAACAAACGATAATAGTGGGCCATTTTTTTCGAAACGTACGCGATACAAAACTGAATTTATCGCGCGGCACCCTTAAAACATAATATTTTCACGTAGTTTCCTTCGAAATTCACTTGTTTTACAACCGGACTACACCCTCACGTCATCCTACTTTGCCTATGTTCACGCCACTGATACGGCGACGTTGCCAAGCGTTGCACGTTTTTTGTTGCACATTGGTACAAAACAATATAAAAATCATACAATTTTAATTTAGGAATGTAGAATCGCCAACAATACATTTAGAGCACAAATTATACATCATTTTTAAATAAATAGGTAGTTTTTTCACAAAAGAGAGGAAAACATTAAAAACCTTTTTAGAACTCAATTTCGATTGATTAATAATTATTATAATCAATGATTATTCCTTATATCATTGATTAAGAAACTCCAAGCTTAAGTGCTTATATAGTTAGGGTGTGCATTTTATCTAAGGGATCTTTTAATTGTAAATAAAATTCAAGAACTAAATCGTTGCATTTTCATGTTTTGCCAAAGGATCCAATTCGCTAAGTACATTTGTTGGTGCAGAATTAACTAACGATAACTTTACCTAGTATAATTTATTTTTATTTAAGTTTGGACATTTTTAAGAAATTGGTAAAAAATAATTTTTTCACAAACATAACCTTAAAATCAACCATTTTTATATTTGAGTTCTCTAAAAAACGCGGACAACTGCATTTTAAACAACAAAATACTAACCCCCGCCCGCCCAACTTATCCCTTATCTATGGTCAAAGGTGTATAAAATCGTTTTAAATTAGATAATGCATGTGGCAAAGTAAACAATTCGTGCGGTTAGTGTTGTAATAGGAACATTGAATTTGGCTTTAAATTAATTTTTTAGTGCAAACAAAAATCCAATGTTTTTGTGTGTGGACTTTATTTTTTGTGGAGAAGTATTTTCATGTTGTGGAGGATTTTTAGAGGCCTGTAATGCACCTACAAACAACTACAACCACTTGCGACTAAAAGTCTTATTAACTATTCCAGAAGACTTTTTTTAAGTCTTGCTATTTTTACAGACTTTTTTCGACTTAATGAGTTTTATTTAGAGTTTTTAAGAGAAAGTAAAACTTTCAAAACTTTTACTTATTAAAACTTCAGAGAAAAATTTTCACAGGGGAACTGTACTGTGTAATATTACCGCAGTAGTATTGTATTTTTCCTAAACTTTTATTTTCAATGAAACACCCTATATTTGTTGAATTTTTTTATTCTACACATTACAATAATTGTTAATTCGTATTTTTGCTATTACTTGTTTTTAAACAAATTAAGTATACTTAGCAAAAAAAAATTTGTTTGGTTATTTTTTTAATTTTTTTTTTAAGTCCAAAATAATCCCATGGACGAGAACGAGGTATATTCATTTGAAGACTTTGTTACTGAAGATAGTATTTACATTATAGACACTACCCAAGTAGCACAAACGGTTAAATAACTAGTATTATAAGTAAATTAACCGAAATCTAAGTTAAATGACGTTTTTTTAACTTGGTTTTTTAACCAATTAGTTGAATTATCCAATTAGTTTTTTTTACAGTTATTATAAACTAAAAAAAAACCTTTAAATTAACCAACTAGTTGCTATTACTTAAAAGTTATTTTTTATTATAATTTAACTTTAAAACTAACTGATGAGTGAAACAATACTTCCAAGTTAAATAAATGGTAAATTTTTAGTTAATTGTAACTTTTAAAATAACCTTAATTTACCTTAGTTAATAAGTAGGTTATTTTAGAAGTTATATAACGTTATATTAACTTTAAATTTTAACCAATAAAACTGGTAAAGAGTAGTTAATTTTCTTGTTATATTTTGGTTCATTTTAACTATAAATTGAACCTTTAGGTTAGTTAACCACAGTTTTGGTTAATTTGACTATATATTTTAACCAACAAGTTGCATTTTACCAAATGTATTTTAACTAAATGGTAAATTAACGTTAATCAACCAACTCGTTAAAAGTGATGGTTTTGCAGTTTTCATTGTTACCTACATAGAAAAATATGTACTATGTTAGGAATACTTGACATGTTAGGAACTTAAATATATACCTATAGGTACCAGAAATAAAGCCTATTATTATAAATAAACTTTGAACGCCACACGATTGTCTATGTAGTACACACTGCAACGTTTTCCAGAACGTTCGGCGGGAATTTATTTTAGGTTAGTTATTTTGAAAATAACAAGTTAGTTTAACTTAACTAAATTTTTGTAATTTTTAACTATAATGTGTTAAATGTAACCAAATTGAAACCAAAACCAAAGAGTTATAAATTACTGATGGGTAAATAAAGTAGTTAACTTAAACACAAGGAAATAACTAAATGGTTTAAATAAACTTGCAGGTTAATTTATATTGGTTAAATAACCAATTAGTAAAAGCATCCTATAATCGCCATATTGCTTGCTGTTCATTTTACAAAAGGAGATGCCATTAATTTTTATTTTTGATTTTTATTTCAAAAATAAGGTAATTTAAATAAACCAATAATAAAAAATAGTATTATTTTATGTTTAAAAGTATTTTAAATCAATTTTAAGTAAAATAAAAAATAAATAAGCAAAAAAAAATATTTTTTTTTAAATTTTTATTTTCTTTATTTCTTATTCTTTTTAGAGCGCGTTTAAAATATAAAAGTATTATGAGCCATTTCATCAGAAAAAAATGCCCCATTGGTTTTTCTCCTAGAACCACCTCTTTTAAATATTAAAAATTTTAATATTTAATATTTTAATATTTTAATTTAAAATGAAGATATTGTAACGTTTTTCACTGTTCGTAGTGTGAATTAAAACACGCACTGGTTTATTAACGAACTAAACTATTTATTTTTATAACTTAACTACACTTAAAACACTATAAAACTAACTTAACACTTAACTACTAATTATTTATATTTCACTACTGTTCAAGAGTCTATTTATTTGCACTTATATTTATTTATTTCACCGCGAGTACCAAATCTTAACTGACTGCTCTGTGTTGCTCCGTTTCTTATATATCCAGCGCCCAGGTATTCTGGAACATTCCAGCGAGCTCCACACTCTCGATTATTCGAGCGCTGAGTCACCGGCGATGACTCACCGGCAATGACTAATCGGCGATGAGTCATCACTCCGATATTCAGGGCGGTACTCGCTACATTGCCCCCGTCTTAAAACATTTTCGTCCCGAAAATGGTCCTCAGCTCCATGGCGATATTTGCATAGAGATCCAAACTTGCATTGTGACGTCCTATAGAAGTAGCAGTCTACGGTCTTCCTTCCGGTTGTTCTTTTAGGGTTGTGGCAACAGACAAGAATGTGTATGCCACTAAATCTGAAGATAACTTCCACCATACTTCTAATTATTCTCCAGTCTAAACCGTCAAGTCCACAAGCAATCTTCGGTATCGCCAGGTTCATGATGTCCTTGGATAAAAGGGCATCCCTCAATTTATTTAAGGCATTCCATAGGTCACGGTAGTTTGGCTTCTGATGGGAGAGCTGCTTCGTTACCAGATAGAAGATACTTCTATTGCCTATCTGCTCTTTATCCACAATTTCAAGCACCTCTCCAACTTTGGGATTCTGCCTTCGTAGATCGTCGACCCGTCCAAACTTGTTTTTAAAGACAACCGCTATTCCCCTGGACATCCTAAGGTCTTCCGCAACACAGTGAGCCAAGGAGTAATCGGCCGAAACCGTGAAGAGATCTTTTTGTTCTTCTTGAGTGACACCGTAGCGAGCTTTTTTACCGCTCGAATATAAATACATGAAGTCTTCAAAAGGCAAGTCTTCTTCCGGCGGATTAACCTTCCTTACTCTAGCGTCGTTTATTTGGTCATCATTGTTTCCAGCGTAAGGAGCCAATCGGTTAAAATGGATCACTTTCGGCTTTCCTCTTGGTTGTTTTCTGATCCTATAGATGATGTCATTTATGCGATCCATGACTTCGTATGGTCCTTCCCAAGAAGTCTGCAGCTTCGGTGAATAACCACGACGGCGCTGAGGGTTGTATAACCAAACTAGGTCTCCAGGTTGAAATCCTCCATTTTCCGCCTTGATGTCATATGTCTCTTTCATTCTATCACTGGCACTCTGGATGTTTAAACGAACTCGGCTATGAATGTCGCTCATTTTCCTACGTAAATTGCTGACATAATCTTCTCCAGCAATATCTTCCCCTGGTAGGCAACCAAACCTCAGGTCACAAGGTAGACGAAGTTCACGTCCCATAACAATGCTAGCGGGTGTCTGGCCGGTTGTATCGTGGATAGAAGAACGGTACGCCAACAGGAACAGATGGAGGAAGCGGTCCCAGTCTCTTTGGTGATCAGAGACTACCTTCGAAAGGTACCTGTTTATCGTTCGATTCATTCGTTCCACCATTCCATCAGACTGCGGATGTAATGCGGTCGTCCTCGTCTTCCGAATGTTAAGAATCTTACACACATTCTGGAACAATATAGATTCAAAGTTCCTGCCTTGGTCTGAATGCATTTCCATTGGGACACCAAAACGACAAATCCACTCCTTAATAAGGGCATCGGCTACTGTGGCGGCTTCCTGGTTTGGCAAGGCGTACGCTTCTGCCCACTTGCTAAAGTAGTCCATTACAACGATGATGTATTTATTTCCAGATTCTGTTTCCGGAAATGGACCCGCCACGTCGATTGCAATTCTTTCAAATGGGCTGCCCACATTGTACTGTCGCATTGGGGCTTTTGGGCGCTTCTGGGGTCCATTGCTTGCCGCGCAAACGGCGCACTTCTTGCACCATTCCTTTACATCTCGTTGGCTGTTGACCCAATAAAACCGTTCCCTAAGTCTTCCGAGCGTCCTGGTGACCCCAAGATGTCCTCCAGTAGTTCCATCATGGATTTCCTGCAGCACTTCTGGTATCCTGTTTCTGGGGATTATTATCTGCTTCCGGTCTTCCCCCCCTTCTGGCAACTCCAGAACGCGCTTTAGAAGCCCGTCACTTAAGATGATGGAATTCCATTGGGCCCAGTACGATTTCACATTCGGCGAATATTGGGCGACTTCCTGCCACGTTGGTTTACGGTCGTTCTTCTTCCAATCGATGATAAGCTTCAAATCCGGATCCCTTTCCTGGTCTTGTTGAACCTCAGCGG